TGAATATGTAAATTTTATTTACTAAAAATAATCCGAGTTTTCACAGGGATCATTTAACTTTATCGTCGGTCAACCTTCGTAATCCGCAATCGGAACAACATTCAGGGACGGAGGGAGTATATTGTATTGTATTGCGAAGTACGTATTACATCTTGTGTACATCCTAGAATACCACTAGTCCTAAATAGGGGCGGATCCAGAAATTTAATCTATTGAGGGCACAAATTAAGTAAAAGTAAGGAAAAATTATTATAATTGTAAATTAACTTTACAAGATGAAAAAAACCAATGTTAGCATACTAGACACAAAGGAAAATCGTGACCACGAAGTTGGCAAGGTCCCCTAAACAAGTATTTCCTTCTTATTTCATCTCTTTGATTAGGATGATGTTCCGAAAAAAATTCCTTTATGTGGGATCCAAAGGAAGATTATCCAAGTGATTTCTCTGAGTAGTAAAGGAGTGTTATTTGATACATTAACACTTAAACTTTGTCCCACATCCCCGCTTTGATTGGATAGGCAATGATTGTCTTTTGTAGAATTGCGTTATCATCGTTTAATCTTTCCAAAGATATTAAGTTTTAAACGCTATACCTAATTTACACAAAATAAGCCATACAAATACTTATATTTAATTTAATTTGCCGTAACAAAGCAATAAAGCAAAATCTCACTTCACATTTTCAATCCTCTACGTGATTAAGATGCCAAGGAATTTGACCATTTTATTGATCGAACTAAATAGCTCATTCTAACCACACAAGATAAAGTAATTAAAATAATAAGTAAATTTTAAGAATTAAAATCTGAAAACCCCATTAGCAAAATAGCAAATGAAAGAATGAATAAGTAATATCGAACCCGAGATGATTAGACGAAGATCAAGGTCCCGTTTGGTAATACTCAAATGGACTGCATTGGCTGATTCTGCTAAAGTTTATGAAGTTTTGTCTAAAATTGCCGGATTGTCTGATTACGGAGTGTTACACAATTTAACACGCGAAATCAAAAGTTACATTTTTAATGAAAAATTGGCTGATAAAACATAATAAGCTGAAAAACACGAAAGAGGTTCTAAATCGTGTTCAAAAATCAAAAGTCAATAATAGATTATTGACTAAAGACTATTAAGAATTGTCTATGAATTAAATTAAAAAATAAGATTAAAAAATTAAAATTGAAAGGATTATAAAGACAAACAATGGAGTGTGGGCCATATAACTCATACGATAGTACACCGTATGCAGTATAACTTGATTGTGGAGTACGTACTGGAGTGTTGGATTTATCCTGGCCCCCGTAATTGAGTGGCTAACATATTAATGGGGTCACTCATTATTTTCATTGGGGGCACTCTTCATTTATAATACATATATAATGCATATATACCTATTAATAGCATTAAAAATTGGGAGTTCATAGGGGGCATGTATGTGCCCCCAATAATAACATGGTGCATCCGCCCCTGAATTCCTAAATAAGGTTTTTTTTTTGCCTGAAACAAACCACTCGAGGTGGGGAGTGCTGGGGAACACATCCCGATTTTATTGATTGTATTTGTTGTGGAACTTTATCGGCTTCTGAAGATAGGGTTGATAGGTTTTAGTCTCCAGTTTAGAGACTTTATATCTCTTGAGAGCGGCAGCTAACTTCTATGGTGAGTCAAATCTTAAGTCTACCGGATATAGGATGTAATCTCATTCATTTGGAAGTTTTTGAGTGACTTCTAGTGATCATGGGATGTGAGGTCCATCCCAACTATACTATACTATACGGGTATAGTATAGTTGAGTATCTTGCTGGTCTTGGTTTGGGATTCCAATCAGACTCTTGATTTTTGTTCTTCTTGGGAGAAAGACATAAATAAGATTAAAACAAAGTCTAGGAATCTCAATATAGGACCTACAACTTTTATACCCGTAAATAGGACTACTTTTTTCCGGAGAGACAAAAATAGCCTCAGGGTAAATATCTTGGAAAATTCGCTGTGTACACTCCGGGTTACACACCGGTGTACACAGCACAAAAAAAACCCACCCCCCATTTGTAATCGTATAACCCCCCCCCCCCCCCCCCCCCCCATTTTGAAATTAACCCCACGTGCATCCCAAAAAAAAACCGCCGCCCTCTCTTCCTCTTTCCCCTCCCACTTCCCCATGCGCCCCCTTTCTTTCCCGCATCCCACAACAAAAACCGCTTCCCTCCCCTTCGGTTCCTCATATGCACACCTTCCCCTCCATTCTTCCCCTCAAACATCTATCTCCTTCCCTCCCTGTAGTCGGTCAAGTTCATCTGCTGTAGTTCAGTCCGCCGCACGAGAAGTCCGGCCATTTGCCCACCGTTCGCCGTGACGAGAAGCTCCCACACTCAACCGACCGGCGGCACCCTCCAAAGCTCTGAAATGGTTCGCACTTCATTAACTGAAATGGCACAAAGGTAAATTTCTATTAGCCTGATTTTGCCCAAAATGCATATCTCCGTTTTTATTTGTTCATTGTCTTTTTTGAGTGAGGTTTGTTGACATGCATACACTCTTTGAAGTATATTTCAGCCTTGTGTTTACATGTTGTTTGTTATATATATGTGTTAACATGTCTGTATAGCCAAGGATTTTGCATTGTGTAACCGGTTGTACTTGTCTGTACCGAACTTAGAGCTGCCTGTTTAGCGTTGTTCAACTGTCTGTGTGTGTGTGTGTTAAATGTATATATTGCGAAGGATATTCCATTGTGTGTGTAGAATTGTTGAGTTGTCTGTGTGTCATTGTCTCATTATCTGCATGCATTTTATTTAGTTTGTTATTGTGCAATTTCAATGCCTGTGTGTCAATGATATGTCTGTAATTGTGATAAATGTCTGTTTGCACTATGTACTTGTCTGCATGCATATTATTTTGTTTGTTATTGTGCAATTTAAGAGTTGTCTGTATGCCGAAGTTCAATTGTCTGTGTGGTTTGAGATGTCTAAGACTTCGTACATATCTGTATAGCATTTGTTAAATGTATATATTGCCAAGAATTTTCCATTGTCTGTGTACAATTCTTCAGTTGTCTGTGTGGCATTGTCTCATTGTCTGCTTGCATTTTATTTTGTTTGTAATTGTGCAATTTGAATGCCTGTGTGTCAATGATGTCTGTAATTGTGATAAATGTCTGTGTGCACTATGTAATTGTCTGTATGGATATTATTTTGTTTGTTATTGTGCAATTTAAGAGTTGTCTGTATGCCGAAGTTCAATTGTCTGTGTGGTTTGAGATGTCTAAGACTTCGTACATGTCTGTATAGCATGTGTTAAATGTATATATTGCCAAGAATTTTCCATTTTCTGTCTAGAATTCTTCAGTTGTCTGTGTGGCATTGTCTCATTGTCTGCTTGCATTTTATTTTGTTTGTAATTGTGCTATTTGAATGCCTGTGTGTCAATGATGTCTGTGATTGTCATAAATGTCTGTGTGCACTATGTACTTGTCTGCATGCATATTATTTTGTTTGTTATTGTGCAATTTAAGAGTTGTTTGTATGCCGAAGTTCAATTGTCTGTGTGGTTTGAGATGTCTAAGACTTTGTACATGTCTGTATAGCATTTGTTAAATGTATATATTGCCAAGAATTTTCCATTGTCTGTGTACAATTCTTCAGTTGTCTGTGTGGCATTGTCTCATTGTCTGCTTGCATTTTATTTTGTTTGTTATTGTGCAATTTCAATGTCTGTGTGTCAATGAAATGTCTGTACTTATGACAAATGTCTGTGTGCTTTTTTCCAGATTGGAATTGCAAATTCCTGTTAAGGATTTCTTTCCTGCGCAAATCTCCGTAAGGTCTGCATTCGAGTATGCATTGGACGTTTTGAGTGATTGTTTGACATTGCAGCAGATGACATTACTAGTGAAAACGCCTTGGGGCCATTTGCTTGATGCTCCAGCAATGCAATTCTCTGGGCAGCTGATACATTTGTTGCTGTTGCATCAAGTGCGTCACCAGCCTGCTGATGAGTTATGGTTTGCGGTGGATGGTAAGTTGCTGAAGTTCACTTACAAAGACTTCAAGAGGGTTACTGGAATCAAAGATCAGGTCGAGTGGGCGACATATGATTTTGATGAATCACGGTCGGGTGTGGTCGATAAATATTTTGGGGGGTGCGTTGATGTTACATACAGTAAGTTGAAGGCAAAAGTTGAAGAAATTAGAAATACTCCGATGGAACCTAACGAAGATGTGATGGATCGAGTGAAGCTGGCTTCTCTGTTTTTGGTCCATTCCTGCCTCCTAGCTCGAGATCCGCCAACAAGGATACGCCCCGCTCACTTGTGTTTAGTGGATGAATTTGAACTCTTTAAATCATGCCCCTGGTCCCTGGAGTCTTACAACCTCACGGTGAAGAGTCTGAAGAAGACAATGAAAGGACAACCGGAGAAGTTTCAGGCCAAAAAGAAGAAAAAACCGAAGTATCGCAACGCCAAGTTCAGTTTGTTTGGCTTCCCCTTTGCTTTACAGGTATTGATTAATTTGTCTGTAAAACTGCTTACTTACAAATGGAATTGTCTGTATACACTGTCATTAATTATATACACTGTCTGTATACATTAATACGTTGTCTGTATCACACGGTGTGTAGGTTTGGGCATATGAGGAGCTTCCTGTGCTTGCTCAGAAATTTGCCAAACGTATCCCGGCTACCAGAGATGTTCCCATTTTGAAGTGGACTGCACAAGGGTTTTTCCATGCACACAGGCTTCAAAAGATTGTGTTCAAAGATATTGTGGAGGTAATTGAAAGGGGTAATGTCTCGTTTTTACTAGGCCATGGAAACTTGACTATTCGTGGAATTGTTTACGTCGCAGGAGGCGGAGAACGACGATGAGGAAAGCACAGGTGAAGATGTTCCAAATAATGAATTGAGTTTATTGCATGCACGTCTTGCGGATCTTGAAAAGAGGCTTAAAGCCACTGAAGAGCAGCTTGCTAAAAAGGAGTTGGCTGAAAGTGAAGATAGAGAAGAAGAAGAAGAAGAAGAAGAAGATGAAACCAGTCAGGAAACCGAAGAGGAACATGTGTGTACATATAATTTAGTGTCTGCAATTCTATTATGGGTTGTCTGTATGGATCTTTTGTGTATGGCATCAGTTTGTAATGTGGTATTTTCACTCATATTATAGGTTAGTGAGAATACAGATGAGGTTGAGGAATCTGATGCGGCCGATGAAAGTGATGAGGCTGAGGAAACTGAAGATGGTGAGCAAACTTATGAGGCTGACGAAACTGATGAAGCTGAGGAGGAGGTTGTGAATGTCGAAGCGGTTAGCAGTGATGAAGACATGGAATTGGATGTTCATCACGAAAGTGTTGAACGGAACGAAGAGGTAAATGTCTGTACGTGTTGCATAAATGTCTGTTGTTCTCTTAATACATCTGTAATTGTTGTCTCTAAAATATATGTTTAAGCCCAACCATATTGTCTGTATATATTGGTCAGGATGTCTGTATATCTTATTACAGAAGTAGTTGAACATATATTGTTGTCTGTATTGTTAGACATTTCAAATATTGTTTGACGTATATTTTAGGCTATTGAAGAGGTCAAAGCCCACATTGGAGCTTCCGAAGTTTTTAGTGTGGAACCGGACAAGGTAATGGTGTTAACTTGTCTTTATTATTCTCTGTAAGATATATGTTTAAGGCCATACATATTGTTTGTATATGTTGGTCAGGATGTCTGTATATGTTATTACCTAAGCACTTGAAATTATATTACGACCATCCATACAGTCTGTATTTCTTGGTACAGGATGTCTGTATACAGAATTATATGTTGTCTGTAATTGTAACGTATCTACTGTTAAACTCTTTCTAGGATGCGGTGGATCTCACAGGTCATATGCCCACTGCTCAATTGTCTGTCAATGACGAGGGAATAGGTGATGGAGACAAATCATGTCAAGAGGTAAATGTTTTTATTTTTAATGTATGTCTGTATTTCTTATAGAGGTTGTCTGTACCAAATATACTTATTTGTAATTTCTGTTTTTGTAAAACATTTTGTAGTCTATTTAGGAGGTTAAAGTTGAAAAGGTATATGTTGTCTGTACGAATTTTTGTAATGTCTGTACATGTAAAAATGGTTGACATGGTAAGTACATTTGTAAACCCGTAATGCATATATTGTGTGTAGGATTGTACGTAAATGCTCACATATTTTGTAGGGTGTGGAGGTTGCAGAACAAATGCATGCAGGACTTGACCCCAATGAAGCAGAATGTAAAGACGTACATCATAAAGAGGGGGTGAATACCTTAGTGGTTGAAGAGGTAAATGTGTTTGTAATGTATGTCATTATTTGTTATTGAGGTTGTCTGGACCCCAAATGGTAAATGTCTGGACCTTTATTATGTTGTCTGTATGATTATGATGAGGTTGTCTGTATTGAAATTGTCTGTGTTTTTTTTTTTTACCTTTTGCAGAATGCGGAGGACGCCGACAAAGAGCGAGCATATGTTGGTCATGGCGGTGTTTTTGATGATGTACAATTCTAACATATCTAACGATGTTTTTCGGATGTAGAGGATGAGTGGGTTGGGACAACGTTTCTAAGAATTTTCAAACAAAATTTTTAAACACCAATTTTTTATGACGCTTTGCATATGTTATTTATGTTCAATGATGTTCGAACAGATATGTCAAAGTCCAGACATTATCATCACAAATGTGATGAATGATGTAAGTGTTGATGAGTTATTAAATACTATTGTATGTGGTATTGTGTTTCAAATCACACTTTATTGTGATTTACTTTACAATGTCTATTTCAATTTTTAAGTTGATGTTGATGAACGAGGAAGTTGGTTTATTTGAAGAATGTCATAGCACCCAAGAATTGTTGTTGTTGCCAAAAGAGGTGCACATACTTCAATTTGTTTTACCATGCATCAGTATTAATGTCTGCGTGAGTAATTTGGTAACGTTGGTATGGACGTAATAATGTCTGCGTGCACACATGTTCGGTATTCTGCATTATGTCTGTGCGCAGACATCGGGTCATGTCACTTGTGTTAAATCTTAATGCTTGTGTGCGTGTGTAGTTTCCCAGTGATACCTTCAGTGAACTGCCGTATTTGAATCTTGATTGGGAGGACGTTATAATTGACGATCTGGCACCTCAGATTGATACCATTAACGAGGACTTAACCCGGCTTGAAATCACGAAAAGACCAAAATTCCCGAAACATATACACTTCGACATCCATGCTCCATTGGATATACATGACAATGAGTTGATAAGTTTGAGGTGTTGGATTGATCAATCAGATCGAATTGCCCCTACCCATGTAAAGCTAAATATTCCCGGTTTACAAGATGTGGATAGGCGGTATTTTCGCGACCTCCTTATGCCGGAGACATGGTTGGCGAGTTATGTAAGTGCATACTTATGACCTCTTCACCCATATAATTCTTACTAACATTATTTGTCATTCGTTGATTATGGAATATTCTCTTGTTCTAGCATGTTGATCCTATCATATACTTGTTGAACAAGATCAGCACATGGACGAAATGTTCATTACTTGGTCCATATTTTATGGTATACGAAGTTCATTTTATGCATACGTTAAAACTTTTCACATTAATTGTTTATTACTTACCCATTTTATTTAGCAACAACTGTTGAATAAAAATATTCACAATGAGGCGCAGTGGAGGGGAGATAGGCATCTTGTGAAAACCAATTGGAGTTCATTGGATACGGTATGTGTATATTTACAGACATCATCATGTATTACAGACATCTTCATGTACTAAATGTCTGTACACAAACGTTACTATACATTGTCGTAATTTCGTTAGGTTTTGACACCCTTAAATGTGGGGGATGCGCATTGGATTTTGGTGGAATTAGACCTACGCGCTAAATTTGTAAGAATTTATGACTCCCTTAGAAGTGGAAGGACCTTAGCATCCATAAATGAAATTTGGGAGCGACTTCCCAAACTCCTACGTGTGATTACATGGAAGAGGGAAGATGATGTTGCTCCGGACCTCCAAGATTGGCAGCTTGTGGCCGTTGAAGGTGTTCCCCAACAACGGGGCGGGTAAACCCAACATTTAATCCAAGCCTTAAATCCAAATTTATTTATGTCACATTATATTATATTATATAATACATATTGTGTGTGTGTTTTGGGCAGGGGTGAATGTGGCATGATGATGTTATCTTTTGCGGAGCACCTTATGTTGGACCTCCCCTTCACACCGGGTTGCGAGTATGAAAACATGGCTAAAAAGAGGTGTGACTTTGCCAAACGTCTTTGGAAGATGAAAGATTGATCAAAAACTGATGAAGTGATGAAGAAAGAATATGTGCAATGGTGTATATTTTTTGTAAATTTATATTTTTTGGCCAACATACATTGGTGCTTACCTAACTTTTTCACCAACGATGGTGCTTAGATGTAGTGTTTTGTACAACAATGTGTCATGCCATGTTGTACAATATTGCTACAATTGCTTCCATTTTTTTGGGGTCTGTGGCAAAGCTGTAGAACTGTCTGTAATATTTTTGTATTGTCTGTCTAAATATGGATTTATGAGTATGGAGTTCAAAGTAATTGTTTGTATTATAATCGCTAATTTTGTCTGCAGTATATAAGTTACTATGGACTACGAACTAATTGTCTGTATTAGGATGCTATTTGTCTGCGGTATTTAATTGAGTATGAAGTACAAAGTAATTGGTACAAAGGAGTACATTGAAAAATTGTAAAACGAAGTCATACATGCACATAATAGTGAATTTGTTCACAACATTCCCAAAAAAGGATGTAAATCATTCCAATGTTATACTACATTCAAAAAAAGTGTAAGATTTAAATCTAAGTCATCTTGAAACTGCAATGTCATATTATTTTTCACTACACCAACACCAGGTTGATCACCGCACCCCTCTACAACAGAAATGTCTGCTGCGCTTCGTTTATTATGTCCACTTGCCTGAAAGAAAAGTAGAATCAATAATGTTGTACAAAAAGTAAGGTGTCTGTGCATATGTACGAAATGTCTGCACAACTATATTAAGTGTTTGTACACTAATGAAAGTGCAAGAGGACATCATACCTTAGACTTCGTTTTTCCCTTTTCTAGTGGCCCCTTCAAACGGTTTTTCCTTGGAGCACCCTTCCGTTTTGAACACTTTGGATTAAGAATTTTGGGTTGCCCCTCCTCCGGCAGACTGCTGCCTGGTTGGGGCATTGGTGTCAACACACCGCATATAGCGGAATGAGAGGGAGGGGGCTGATGTAGTTCCAATTGCCTTTCTAGCCACATCATTACACTATTGCACTTTTCCGGATCATCAGCAATGTTGTTTGCAAGGGTCTCAAAAGTCTTACACAAATTATCAAACCTTTGTTGTTCCACCGTAGTTACCCAACCATCGTAGTTAATTTTCACTCGGGTGTAAGCTCTTTTGATGTCTCTTCTCCATCTTGACATAATGTAACAATCAGGTAACACTTTCACATTATGTCGTAGTGCCACCATTAGGAAATGTCTACATGGAATGCCTCGGAACTCAAACAAATGGCAACTACAGATTCCTTTGGATGTTGAAATATCATACTCTACAATGAAGGTCCAACTCTTATCAATCCCGTTGATGGAACGATTCTCTTTTACCTCAAATGTTATACCATCCATGCTAGGTAAGACGTAACAGTACAACTGATCAACTAATTCGGTACGGAACTCCTTGAACTTTTCTAGGGTGTACACACCTTGCACTTGTTTTTCAATTTCAAACGACGTAACACATGGAAGCATTTTAGTCAAAGACAGCCCATCGGCTTGAAATTCTTTTTCAACCTTGAATCTTAAAGCGCGCCCATATTGATCAACAAATTGTTTTAGAGTAGTTTTAGAATTAACATACTCATCAAAGAAGGCGTTCATGCCTTCACTACGTTGAGTGGTTGACATACCAGCCCAAAAAGTAGGTTTCAAGTAACAGGGTACCCAACGATGACGTTCATTATACATCACCAGCAACCATTCATCATGTTGTAGTGAAAACCTGAATAAACAGAAAGTAGTTACACAGGGAGAACAGATTTGTCTGTGCAGGGAAAAATTGTATATATTTCACAGACGATATACTTGATATACAGACAATACATTCTGCCAAACATGAAAAATTATATTCAGTACGTACAAAAAAATTGACTGTGCAGGGAAAACGGTATATATTTCACAGACGATGTCCTTTATATACAGACAATACATTCTGCCAATCATGCAAATATATATATATATATATATATATATATATATATATATATATATATATATATATATATATATATATATTCAGGATAAAAAAATATAACTTGTCTGTATAGGAACAAATTGTATATATTTCACAGACAATACATTCTGCCAATTAAGCAAAATTATATATTCAGTACATAAGAAAACTTACCTTTGGAGCATAGCTTGCCAACCTGCCTCAAACTCTGAAGTGTGATGTGAATCATAAACTAGGTTATGAATGTTGAACATTATGTAATCTTTATCCGCAAGGCCACCAAGTTTTTCGGGTAACTTCTTCATGATGTGCCACAAACACCAACGGTGCCTTGTATCCGGAAACACAATTTGAATAGCATTTTGCATGGCACGATCTTGATCAGTTATAATGCCATCCGGAGCACAACCCTCCATGCAATCAAGCCAAGTTTTAAAGAGCCAAACAAATGTTTGTGTGTCTTCATTTGAGATTAGGCCACATCCAAATAATATAGATTGACCATGATGATTCACACCCACAAATGGTGCAAATGGCATGTCATATCTATTACTTAGATAGGTTGTGTCAAAGGTAATCACATCTCCAAAACTTTTGTATGCATATCTACTTCTATT